CCCCCCCCAACGTCCACACAGACACACCCCCATACCCGTTGAAAAATAAACTCTCCCAGTGCCCACCCACCCCTGCCAAACAGTCAGAATGGTTTGCTCCACCCACCCCCCGCAGGCTCCAGACATGCAGATATAAGCCCCGCCTCTTTCGTGTCAATCAGTCAAATAAAGAAAGAGGATTGGCTAACGAAAGCCTAGACGTTTCCATTGTTATGAACATGCACTCAGTCATTGCATTGCATGTATATATATATATGTGTATGCATAGTAATATATATACACATACATACATTCACATTTAGATTTAGTTTTATAAAAACATACTCATAGCTTATAATATAGATAACACAGACAACAAAGTTCCCCCTTATTGCTTGCAGTGACAACCCCATGCATTGATTATAATACAAACTCGTGGTAAAATCACACGGGTCTCGACGAGGCCTTGGTAGGTGCGAACAGATGGAAGTGGACGGGGGGGTTGAAGGGAAGGAGGGGGGCGAGGGAGAGAGAGAAAAGATAGACGAGAGAGAGCATAGAGTCATGGGATAGGGAAAGGAGGTGGGTGGTGTGGGAGGGGCACGGCGTGACCCCGCCCATTGGCCACTCCCACTCCCCCCGCCCCCTGGACACACCTCCTACTGCTACCACACCCCCCCAGAATAACACAGCTCATGTTCCCAGTGCTGGAGTTGAGAACTCCTGGTGTCAGTCCGTACGTACAGGAACATACAGCCTCCTGGCCTTTCTGCGTATCTTAGACTGGGCTGGCTTTGTCAGATACAGCCCTGCTACATATAATCTGTTTGTGTTTTTTTCCCCCTTCTTCTTTGTCAAAGTGCATCCCCGATGATATGATGAAAGACTCCTGAGTATGTCCAAGAAAACAAGTCCGTTTCCTTCTGTTTGTCTCTTATTGGTGGGTCAGGAAGGGGAGAGAGGATAAAGAGGAGAGAGAGAGAGCAAAACGCTGGGACAAATTAAGCGCAGAGCATCCCTATTAGAGAAAAATAAATCTTTTTTTTTTTGTACCAGATTGGTGTACAGTACATACATGTATGGGGGGAGAGAGAGAGAGAGACACAGTAAGAGAGCCCGCAGAGATTTCCAAAATAACTAAATGGGTCGTTAAAGCAAAGCACAAGATTATTAAAAAAATAGAGATATATATATATGATGAGATTTGTTTTCTTTAGAATGAGAAAAGGGCTTTTTTGTTTTAAAAAAAACCAAAAAAAAAGAGCAAAAATGGGCATTCATGAGAAAAAAATTAAAAACGAAAAAGTCCTCAAAGCCCCTCGACCCGGTTTCTTTTTCGCCACCTTCCTCTCCGGCGAGCTGAAGGAGGGGAGGAGGAAGAGTGTGGTCGGAGCGCCGGGGGGGGCGGCAGATCCGAGCGCGGGTGCCGAGGCCAGCCAATCCCCACTCCCCGCCTCCTACCGGCCGCTGTCGGTCCAGCATCCGTTAACAGCCTCCCCTTTCGGCAGAGGGAACGAGCCGTCCCAGCAGGAAAAGGGAAATCAAAAGAAACACACACATACACACACAAAAAAAAAAGGAACACAAAAAAAAAAAACACGATCAAGGGCGAAAATAAGCAACGCGCGAAATAAACAGTCACGCAAACGAGACGGGATGGGTGGGTGGGGGGATCCGAAGGGAAAAACTGCGTGGATGACAAACGGGGAGGGGGAGAGGGATGGGCGAGACAGCATTTTCCTTTAAAAAAAAACTACAGATCCCATCATGCAATGGAGAGCAGTGGCGGGGGGGGGGGGGGGGGGGGGGGAGGGAGGCTTTCGATTGGCTGGTTGCCGGCCCCTCCCCCCACCTCCCACCTCCTGAGCCTATCGCAGGCAGGCAGGCAGGCAGGCCGCGCCCCCTTTGAGACGGCAGCACAGTGGGTCCGCGGCCCAGTGCGAATACGCACAGTACAGACAGTACTTGGGGGGGGCAGCCACATTATGCCCGCCCGCCCAGCGTAAAAATAGGCGAGGTCTCCTGTGTCTTGCTGCCCAGTTCTTGCATCAGAAAGAGTTACTGCATATTGCGCCAGTGCATTCGAAAATAGTCTCTGTTTTGTTTAGGCATACTACTAGCAACAGGAACAATAATGAGAGGGGTTATTCATGAGAATAATACAGCTCTGTCCATGGGCCCCCCTTTAGAGAAGCAGATATATTGTATTGGTATAGATCTCTCGCCCTGCTGTCTGTATATGTATTTACAGTACATACGGTTACGTGTGTGTTCGGATACAAAAGGGCTTTGTGTTTATACAGGTGTGTACAGCTGTGTTCATATGTCTATATATGTACATGTCTAGTTATAGACAGACTGACAGATACAAAGGATTGTAAGCTCGGTAGATATAGCGTTTTTCTCACCTGGTTGTCAGAGCGTTTTTAAAAATAGTGACCTTCCGCTACACTGTCGTCTTAGCTGATGCGTGGATATATATTTAATACTTGTTCTGCGCTAGGCATACTGTACAGTCGGTTTGGCACAAGGTGTCCCCTACAGGGGTGGGGGTCAGAAAGCTCCTTCATGCCTCTGCTCGTAGCCCACAGCTGTCAACAGCCCTATGCATGTCAGAAGAATGGAAGGTCAGAACCGAAACCAACCACCAAAGGCTATCTGCGCGTGAGGCTCGATCAGCAGGCAAGCCGAAGCTCTGCGACAGCTCTGACAGACCCACAGCCAGGAGGGCCGGGCCGAGGTGAGGTCACCATGATGTCACCGTGAGGTCACCATGACGTCACCGTGACGTCGCTCTGCTGCCGCACTGCCCCACTGAAATGTGTGCCCCCCCAGTGTGTGTGTATCAACCCCTCTCTCTCAGTGCAGTGTTAATGTACTGGAGTGTCCAGTCAGTGTGTCTGTAT